AATATTTTTAAAATCATGGAACTTAAAACATTATCTCATTATTCATTAAATTAAATCAAATAATACGGATAATAAATAATAATGTCATACAATGAAATATTTCAACAAACATGGACAATAAATAATAATGTCAAAAGTACAATGGAATTATGCCAGTATAATCTAAGTCTATGAATGTAATATTGATATGTCAAAATACATGTAAGCTTATAACTAAAACGTAGTGATTTTAATACTCTTTGCTTAAAACATAATTCAGAATATATTTCAGATGTCAATTATTTTAGAATGTAAGTTTGTAGCTCAAATAATCTTTTAAGGAGTAAAAACATCTTTCAGTCAATAATTCTAATAATTTATTCTTAAATTTTTTATTTCTTATATATATGTGGTCCTAATGCATAAAAACTTTTTGAGATAAAGGCTGTCCTAGATGTGTGAAACGGTATAATAGTAACATTATTCTTTGTTTGCCTCAGATGCTTAGCAATGTGCGAGTTAAGATAATGTAAATTACTTTTGACGAATAAGCAGGCTTGGTATATGTACAATGAGGGCAAATTTAGGATTCTTAATTTTACAATTTTAGGAATTTAAGGATTTTTTTTGGAGAAAGGGTCATCTCAGGAAAGGGCAGAACAACGTCTGCCTGGCCAGCTAGTAAACTATAAAAGTAATATTTTGGCTATGAAAATGTCTTTAGGTCTGAATGCAAAACAAATTTCAGCACCTTCGTATGATTATTTTACCAATACTGAGATCTACGTACCTTTATATTTTTAGCTCACATGACACAAAGATATTTTTCTAGAACTATTGTAATAAATTAGGTGTAAAATTACTTACAAATGAAATGTGATGCCATCCATAAAATCAGAGCGTCTATCTGAGTAATTTTTAAACGATAAAACACAACACTTCATCCTTTTCTTCTTAATACTACGAAAATACACCGATTTGCGATTTTCAATACATAAGCGCACAGGACGAATGCTGACAGTATACTAAATAAAGCCGCACCCACTATGATGATAATAGAGCCCTGCGTCAGATGAAGCTGTAAGAGCCGCATAGGTTAACAGCGCAAACATTATAGAAAATAGACGACTATGATGACGTCAGGACCTACTTAGAATCATAGTTCACAGTTGCTTATGCCGTCTCCTCTTTGTATTTGCTTCATGGTCAACACTGATTCAGTAAATAATTGTAAAAAAATAATTAGTCAAAAAACTACTAATCTTAAAATTAATAATATACTTAATATTAAAATAAAAAAAAATATATAAAAAAAAACAGTGTAAAAAGCAGATACGATGCATTTAACATGCAAATTTACTCAATTTGAATACCATATCAAAAATATGATATACGTCAATATTTATCATGCTTATTAAAGTGTAAAATAAATAGTAATAAATTAACACAGGATTTAGATTCCACTGTCAGATTTGCTCTTGTTGAATAATTAAAAAGTTATCATTGTACTTATGTAAACAAATGACAAAATTAGTAAACACTGATTCAGTAAATTTTTGTAAAAAAATATTAGTCACAAAATTATACTAATCTTAAAATTGATATTATGCTAAATATTAAAAAAAATAATAAAAACAGTTTAAAGAAAGCGCCTAATGATGCATTTTAACATGCAAATTCACTCAATTTCAATACCTTTAATAATATATCAAAATATGATATACATCAATCTTTATTATGCTTATTAAAGTGTAAAATAAATAGTAATAAATTAATACATGATTTAGATTCGACTGTCAGATTTGCTCTTGTTGAATAATTTAAAAATTATCATTGTACTTTTGTAAACAAATAGCAATATGAGTAAACACTAATTCAGTAAATAATTGTAAAAAAAATATTAGTCAAAAAACTACACTAATCTTAAAATTAATAATATGCTTAGTATTAAAATAAAAAAAAATCAAACAAACAGTATAAAAAAGCGGATACGATGCATTTAACATGCAAATTTACTCGATTTGAATACCATATCAAAAATATGATATACCCTCATTTTTTACGCTGATTAAAGTATGAGCTAAAAATAAATAGTAATAAATTAATGCAGCATTCAGATTCCATTGTGAGATCTGCTACTTGTTTTATTCAAATGTTACCATTGTTACTTATGTCCTGTAGACCTGATGGACCTGGGTTGACAGTGATGGCAATTTTATCTGAAAAGCAAAACATGCATATTAAAAAATAAACCGCTAACTAAAATACTAACATATGTCTTATGTTGGTCTGGGTCTTAAAGGTCCCTTGTTTATGTAGGACTTATAACGAAACAAAAAAGGAATGTGTTACTTGAATAGCATGTCTAATGAGATATTGGTTTGTGACTATGTAGCCGATGAACCTATCACTTCTTTCATAATTTTCTACCTACCTATACTCATATTTTTTTTAAGCTAAACGTGGTCAAGAGTGTCTCAATGCCATTTGGAATTTGCCTACCCCCTTTGAGGATTACAAGCGTGACGTATATGTAACTAAAATACATATTATACATAACCAGTTAGTAAAATAATAGGCTTTCTATTTTAAACCTGGTTATTAAACAGTTATTGGAAACCAAAATGCTATTAGTTGCCCTGTAAGAGTGAAAAGATGATATTTCACAACACAAGTGTTGCACAACTTTTTAACGTAATCCACTAACACTAACTTCGAAAATCTACTATCATCGTTAAACACACATCATCCTAAATACACAAACTCATCCACTTGATCTACCAACTCCCCTTTCTATTTCATGTATCGTTTTACTTTCTTCTTTTTAAAAAAACCATTACTTTCGTCTTAGTTGCTTTCACTTTCATTCATTTTTCTTTTAATGACACGATCATTAATGTAACCATGATTTACAACTTGCCCGATGGCATACAAAAGGCAATTTGGTGGTTAAATAACCCATTTTTAACCCACATTTCTCAAATTTCAAAGTTTCCAAACAATTATCTATAAATAGGTTGAAAAACCATGCTGAAGTTACACAATCCTGTCTGACACCTTTATGGATGTCAAAGCAGTCGGTGTATGCCTCGTTGATCCTCACACAAGCACTAGAGAAACTATAAATATATTTTAATATCTGTATCAGCCCAGTGCCCAAATCAAAGAAGTCCAGTGTTTGCCATAAAGCAACTTCGTCCTCCCTGTCATAAGCCCTTTCGAAGTCCATAAATGCACAGAAAACTTTCTGGTTATGGGCCAAAAATTTATGTGATCATGCGTATAGAAAAGGCCTGTTCCGAATACGCCATACCCTCATAACTCTTTCAATCTACACCTTAGTATACAATTTCCCACAATGCTAAACAGGCTGGTTCTACGATAGTGTTGGGCTAATACAGGCCAGTAAGACTTTGTTGTTGTGTTTGACACCAGTTTCCCGGTACTTGCTTAGGCTCCCAGCCGTCCCCAGCATAAATTTTGGAAAGTGTAAAGCAGGTCTGCGACCACTCACCTCCTTGTCCTCAGCATTTACAGTGATACTTTATCATACCCAGATGGCTTACCTGCTTTGGAGCTTTTCATTGCTTTCATTATTTCATCTATACTTATCTTACTATCTTTTTCATTTCTTTCGGAGTTTCCAGTTAATTTAATTCAGACGTCTCACACTTAACCACACTTTTAAAGTAATGCTTCCATCTCTTAAAACTTCAAACTTCGTCATTCAAAATACAGCCATTCCCGTCTCAATTCTAGGTTATTCTGAGTTTTCCAGGCTGTTATCAGATATTCTTCTAGCACTCATATTCGTTTTGCTTTTTAGTTTCTACTACTTCTTTTAATCTCTTATATTGACATCTATCAATTTCATTTCCGCCTGAATTATAAGAGAAAACTAGTGATCCGCTCCGGATTCGCACGGGTGGTTAATTTATATTGATAACAGCGCCACCTACCCAACCTCGCAGTACCCCATTAAAATTTCATCAGAATCGGTCAAGCAGTTTAGGAAAAGAAGAATACGAACACACGCACACTGCAGATTATTTATAAAATTAATATAAGAAACTTCATTATATCATATACATATTCTTTAAAACAGTTACCTTTTTGTAACATAATGTTTGATAAAAATAGTTTCATCAGACAGCTGTCAATAGATGTTGTCTATCATTGTTCATTAGCATTTGAATTGCAGTCTAGATAAAATATAGGTCAATATACCTAACAATTTAAAACTTTAGCTATTGTAAAGTTGCAACACTATCTTATGATGGAATAAACTGTCCAATATTTTCATGTGCTGTATTATTGTTAGCGAACTGAATCAGAAAACAGCTACAGATGGATTTCGATGTTAGGTTTGTATCTTAAAATTGTATACATTTATTTTTCGTTTTCTTTTCTGGTAAGCTGTTAACTATTATAGTATATAAAACAATAATAATTATAGATACTACTACAGTAACAATTTGAATGAATAACATGTATTAGCATATAATAGTAAATGTAATATTCAAGCAGTATTTTATTATTATTGACTGCCTCTTTGGTGTAGTGGTGGCAGTAGTGCGACTGCTGATCTTGAGGTCCCGGGTTCGAATATCGGGCCAAAAACTTGTTATTGAGCTTTTCCATTCCAATTAAAATTCCAAGAAATTCTCAGTAGCTGCCCGGAGTCGGGAAGTTGGCGGTGTCTCACCCCCGTGCCCAAGAACGCACGTAAAACCGCCTGCGCCTGATCTCTCTCCGGTCGTGTTGGTTTACCGTTCCATCGGATTATGAGAGTAAGAGAATAGAGTGCACCTATGCTTGTGCATACACTAGGGCACCGTAATCCTGCCCTGCGCATCGGCGATGGCTAGTCTCAGTTGAGACTGGTCACCGTGACCGAAATTCGGTCTACAAGACATTATTATTATTTTTTTCAATATTTATTTGATCAATAACATGCAATACTATAAAAATTAATATTCTATATATACATAATATAAACATGCAATTCAAAACTCACGAATTCAGTACTTTTCATGTAAATCTTGTATTTCCGCGCCATCTTGTTCGTTGTCTTGTTTGTTTGTATTGTGACCTCCGAGATCGGCAAGCCTAGAATTTTTCCATCGTCCATCTGATCCATTTAAGTTGCGATCCTCACAGACGCACAAAAATAGTGAATCGACTACCATCTGAAAATAATTATTTCATACTTTTGATCTTACGTATTAGTGCGAAGCGGAAACTGTCGTACAAAAATTCATCTATATTAAATAATTTGTAGATAAGCACATTTTCTTGATTTAACCGTATCATAATGGGCAGGGTTTCAAGGGCCAAACATTCAGTTTATAGGATTTTAATTCTCATAAGTATGTATGTAATAGTTCACTTGTAATGAGATACAATAAAGTAATATAATTATATTAAGATTAAGATATTATCACATCTACCTTTAGAGTGTTCCAGCGATATAATCATAGATTATTTACTACATTTAATGTTATATACGTCATTATAATTTGATTAAAACAAACTTTTCCCAAATATTTACCTGCATATTGGTGGCGGAAAATTCATTCAAATTTGTTGTGCTTAAATCTACATATTGTAGACAAGATGCAGAATTTTTAGCAAGCAACAGTTTTATGGGATGAGGTACATGGGAAGCAGCATTGCGAGTAATTTTATAGGCTCTCTGAGCTCTGAGCGCTCATCAACTAGTTTCCTAGCATTGTGAATTTGAGCAACATTCTTTGAAAAATCAACTATGGCATTCTTGCAATAACTTATGCCCAGAGAGTATTGGACGCCCTCTAGTTAAATAGAGGAACGATCTGCGCAATGCGGCTGACAAGTTGAAGATAACATCTGAACCTTTTTATATTTAGCTCTACCGTTGCCACCAATATAAGCTGTAGTAATAATGTTTAATTTGTATTTAAATAATGTATTACAATTATTACTTAAAATAAATCAATAAAAAACAAACCTCGTAAAGAGACAGTATGCAGTGCGCGATGAAAAACGAGTAAATGCAGATCACAAGAGTGGGGACAGCGTAGAAATGTAAATCAGAGTTGCGTTTAAGAAGCAACAGACCAATGATACCAGTCACCGCCGTCACAATACACTTGCCCAAGAAAAGGATGAAATCGCCAACGCTGTTGATTGTCGCCACTTGTAATGCGTTGTTTACAATTGTACTAAAAGCCTGAAAGGACAAAAGCGCTATATTCTAATTGTCTGAAAATAAACTCTGTTAAAATACAAAATGAACTTCATCTCTAATAAAAATCAATTGCTGACCGTTAGTCTCGCTAAATCTGAAAAACGGTTTGACCTATTTTGTTGAATTTTTTGTGTGTTTGTATAGGTCCATAGACGATTTAGATTCACATTTGGACCGGGTAGGTGGCGCTGTTGTCGAGATTCCAGACACTACCCGTGCGAAGCCGGGGCGGATCGCTAGTTTAAAATGTAATTAAGAAATGTTTTCCCGATTTAGATTTACTAGGAGGGAGGCCTATTATATCCCAGCTGTGCTATTTACGGACTAAAGAAGGGAAATGGTTGAATATCAACCAGCGTGTTTACTCGTTGGAGTGGTAAATAAAATTGAAGTGTCTGTTTGTAATGTTAAAATTACAGTTTTTTACTAAATGCATATGAAAGTAAATACGGTACTTATAACTAAAATACAATTTTTTAAAATGTTGTGTCTGTCTGTCTGTTTGTTCCGGCTAATATCCGAAACGGCTGGACCCATTTTGACGGGACTTTCACTGAAAGATAGCTGATTTCATAAGGAGTAACTTAGGTTAATTTTATTAAAGAAAAAGAATTAGGGTTCCGCGCAAAACATAAAAACCCTAACACGCGAGCGAAGTCGCGGGGTACAGCTAGTTTCAAATAAAAGTAGAAGCCTTTATTTACATGTACTTTCAAAAACTGCAATAATGGTATATCATTACTTATATATTTGAACTAAAGTTTAAATCTGGCTACCCTTTGAAAAATAACCCTGTATTAATATTCAGTGAAGCCCTCACACACAAATTAAATAGGTGGAAAGGTACACACACACACACACACACACGCACGCACGCGCCCGCGCACGCACGCACGCGCCCGCACACGCACACACACACACGCACACATACACGCGCACGTACACACACACACGCACACATACACGCGCACGTACACACACACACACGCACACACACACGCACACACACACACACACACACACACACACACACACACACACACACACACACACAAAATAGACAATGAACTTTTCTATAACACGGACAACATGGGATAATCACTTTGTTAGCGGATTTGTGATGTAATCAACAGCATAATAATTAAATAACTTACCCTGGCCGCCGCTTTGCAAAAATGACATCTCTCAATTGTAATAATCGTATACGCGTTGTGGTTCAAATAACGAATAAATTTTTCGAGGCAGTAGAAGCAACAAATACCACATTTCAGAGTACATTTTGCACATTCTGATCCCTTTTCCGCTCTGGAAGACAACCTAAAACCATTATGATTATTAATCATTGAATTCATAAAAATATAAACAGACTTCAAAAATTATCAATCATAAAAAGCACAAGTTCACTCACTCCTTGTAATCACTTACTGACTCATCATCACTTGGACTCAGAAATATAATATTTTGCCCAGAGGTTCCCTTTATAATTTAGACAAATAGTAATAAAGGATATTTCTAAAATCCCACAATATTGAGAATAAAGATGTTTTGTATTTTTGCTTTAAAGTTGCCATATTACATAATAATTATACTTAAGGAATAATTATTTAAAATTTTGGCATGTAAATAGGTAATTATTATCACTAATAAGAATTTTCAGGATTTTTCGAAATTCCCACGGAATAGCAAAGAAATAGGATTTAGCAAAATCATAATTTCCAATATCACGCGAATGAAGCCAAGAGCAATTTCGATTAAAATATCAGCGAAATAGGTCGTACATAGAGTATAGGAGAGACATAGGTACCTCAGACATATTATATACATTAAAACAATACAGTCGAATTGATAACATCCTTTTTAAGTCGTTTTATAATTGGACTCGCGTGAGCTACTGTGTGTGATATCAACCCAGTAAACTCCTTATAGTTATAACATGCGCAAAATAACTATGACGATGCATTTGGTACAGTTGTACGGTAATTACATTTGTTAGCGAACGCCATCTCGTATATGTACCAGTAAAAGTAAAGTAAAATAGAGTGACCGGCGCGGCGGCGTGCAGTACCGTCAAAACCTTAGCAGGTGGACTGGCGATTGCAATACTAAACTTCAGTAAAAAGTAGGGGAGGTCAAAAGGTTCGCGTAATGGATGGGTGAAGAAAGGGAAACCCTTACAAGGTTAAATCGATGGTAACTAATTCAGTGACTTAAAGGACAATAAATTTAAAAGGATAAGTAAAGTGATAGTAATATGATAATTTAACTTGCAATTTTGACCGGACGAAAAAAGACCACACTCTCACGGAATATCAGCGTAAACTTAAAATAGCAGCATAATGCTGTCGTTTCATATTCTGCATATTTTCATTCTGAGAATTGCAGAGAACCCAAGACCCTTTTTTACTGGTAATGAGGCACAACATTTTGGTCCCCAGGGGTGACAACGCATCTGCACTTTAATTTTTAATGATTGTTGATAGATGTAGGTGTCTATGGGTTACAGCATCCACTTACTATCAAGTAGACTATGTAGCTATATACTAATTTGTTAGCTTTACTTCTATAAAATATAATAAAAAAAATATATAAATATAAAAGATCGATAATAATATTGTAGATAATTTTCGATCTTAGAACATTCTTTGTTGAAGAATCAAACTATCGATCACCAAACACATCACGTCTTTTGTGCAGTTCAGCGTTACAGGCAATGTTTTTAGTAGACTTCAGAAAATGAAGGGCGCACGACGTTGGACTGTATAACTTTCTTTGTCAAGTGTTACAAAGAAATATATACAGTCTTGAATCAAGTGAATTTGTTTTCATTCTTTTCTTCTTATTTTACTTTTATGAAATTGCAATTGGCGTGTCCAACTCCAACAACAAAAATGAGTATTCCAGTGCTGTTTCTTCTCAATTATTCAATGTATCAAATAATGTGCTTATTTTATACTTACTTAGCGTGTAAATAAGTGAGAATAAGCCTCGGAACTTTGAACAACGTAATTAGAAATGATCCTTTAGCCACAGAACCCAAATGGTACTTTAGAAGTTTTCCAATGGAGTATAGAACGGGAGATGGATTTGCGTTAGGCCCTCTGAAATAAAACATTTTTTTTTTAAATTTAATAAAAGCCATGAAACAAGATAATTTAGCTTATAACTCTTGCAATTTAAGCAAGAAATACGAGCGGCGTTATGAAATATTGAGAATACGGTACAAACTCTCTAGAATTTAAAATATAAATACTGACTGTCAAAGTTAGAATATCAACAATATTGCTACGGCGCAGCGAAGGTACCGCATTGAAATTCCGCTAGACATAACATTTTACATGAACTCTTGGGGATGAAAAAAAAATCCACGTGGTGGGTATCCAGAATGCTTACCGATATTATATACTAACTAACCAGATTGAATATTTACCAAGGCCTTTTTGGATTGTATCGTTTTTGGATCGGTTTATCGGGAACAAAATAATAGTCTGTGACTTGGAAATATACGTGGTAGAGCCATGTTGCAGCTATATTATAGTTGTAGCACGAATGGGTCGGCTCGACCGGGGAAGGACCACGCTCTCACAGAATACCAGCGTAAAATAGCAGCTTGACGCTGTTGTGTTTCGTATGGTGAGTGTAGAGAACCGGCGACCCTTTTTACTGGAAACGAGGCATTCCATCTTAGTCCTCACGGGTGACAACGCATCTGCATTTTGATTCGTAATCGAAGATAGATGTAGATGTCTATGGTCCACAGCAACCACTTACCATCAGGTGGACTGTGTGCTCGTTTGTCACCCTTATTGTATAAAAAAAAAAAGAAAAAAGAACCATCATCGCCAACTAACTTCTTACAAATTCAAGACAAGTCGTTCCGCTAGTAAAATCATGAGCTCTCTTGTCTAGTGAAGTAAAACAAGAGTAATAATAATTGAATAACTCGATCATAGAGTTACGTTAACGTTACGGGCACTTTTCATGTAGAACAAATAAAAAAAATTTGCGCAAAAAACATCTGCGAGAAACTGCGAGACAAATTCGCTAGCATTTTTGTTTTGATGTTTTTTTTTATGTTAAAGATGTTTTGTTTTACCACCATAACTTAAAGTTCTTTTTGGCTGGTACTAGTTTGTGTTTTAATTAAACGGTAAAATCGATTTCCCTACCTTGCTGACTAGAGGAAATTAAAAGTTTCTTCAGCGGCATATCATGGGTTTCTACCACCCGGAACTGCTGGAGTTGAAAAGTGCCGCTTTCTCCCCTATTTTCGTATAATACACAATATAATATGGAAACTGATTTCCACTGGGCTCCTGACTTTCACAATAAAATTCAAATCTATAATAGCTTCTGTCTTGGAGAGTCACAACAGTAAATAAAGGTTATAAAAAATACCTGAAATACCAATGTGAGACGGCGCCAGCTATGGTCATCTGCTGACAGCCGAGTATGAACTCGCTGCCCCATACGAGACAAATGAGCCACATCCACCACATGCTCTTCACCCACATCGGGTCAAACTCTACCGGGTCTAGAACATAAGCTATAATAATGATAAATCCAAGAATGCAATAATAATTATAAATTATATTACAATTTACAATGAGTGTGACTACGACTCGTTCTAATGTAGAAACTGTAATAAGCCTCCCATTTGAGTTTTTAGAAATACTTATTTATAAAATAAACTGCTGAATAAAATCGAATTAATATTTATATGTTTACAGACTGATGGCGCGGTAGCGCAGTGGCTAAGCATTTGATTGTGGTGTTGCAGGGCAGCGGGTCCGAATGCCTCATTGAACAGATGTTTACACCTACAAATAATTGTTTCAAGTCTCCGTAGGATCGGACTAGACTTTCAAAAATGGGGTTGATTACAACAAGTTCCAAATTAATTAAAAGTTAATAATAGTAATCACAACTTTTAACAACAGTTTTCGTTCTCTTGTTAGACAAATGTCTGATTTAAAAATAACTGTCTTTTTATAAGTTAAACCAGATTAATGTATTTTTTTTATAGGAAAGGGGGCAGATGAGAATGCCGCCCATGAACAAGTACCTAAGTCGTAACGGTCCGGAAAAATCGCTGATGGTAATCGATTCCACAAGGAAGTCGTGCGAGGAAGAAAACATCTTCTAAATCGCACAGTGATGGACCACCAATCATCCAGATGGTGTGGATGGTATCGGGAGTTCTGCCGCGATGTGCGTTCGTGAAATTTGGCTCCTGGGATTAATCCGAACAATTCCTCAGAGCACTCCCCGTGGTAAATGTAAATGTATGAATTTGACGTAAGTATAATGATCACTATGCTTGTGTTTGTTACGTTATGCACATCGGTGTGGTAGCTTCTTGGCTATTGGGCTACTTTTCTGCCTAGGAGACTGTTTATGCCACCAAGAATAGTGCATTTATAGGAGTGTTCCAGTGAGAAAAGTATAAAGCTGTAAGGTATTACGTATTGTCCCTCAGAAGTAACAACGGTATTATAGCCATCTTTGCTTGAAGTTTTTTCTTTTTTAAAACAACCACTAACGTAAAGTAAAGCTAACGTTTTACCTTACCTCCGCATTAGGATATTCTCCTGTATCGTCAAGGTTTACAAACACAAATTGCATAAGGTCAGACATCCAGACCCGGAACAATTATTTGTAGGCCATACAAATGCTTGTTCCGTGCGGGATTCAAACCCGTGCCCGTCAGCACTGTCAGTTGAAGCTGTCCAAAAGCTGTAGGTAGGCACCAGATGGAATACGAGCTCGTTTTTTACTTTACTAATATAAAAACATATCCACGACTACTCTACCAAAGAAAAATATAATTAATAGAATCAGGCATTACTTTGTAGAAATCCATTATAATGGGGTTGTTATAAACTAATTTGCTTAATTCCACGTAAAGAAAGAAAATGATGTGTCCTGCACAGTTTTATAGCCGCTAAGCGGCCAGCCTCCGCAGAGTCTACTTCACCTGAGGATGCCTCGCGTAGAGGCGAAACACGTGTCGTATTTTCGAGAGTGGGGTGTCGTGCCTAGTGTGGTGTGTGCTGGGGTTGGTAGTGCTGGGATTCCCGCACGACGGGTATAGTGCGCGCGATTGAGGGAGGGTGAGAGGTCCCCTTAAAACTGGACAGGACACATAATTTTCTTTCTTTACGCGGAATTAAGCAAATTAGTTTATAACAACCCCAAAGAAAAATATTACAACTTTCCACGACCCCAAGTAAAAACCAACCTGCGCCAATGTTCAATTCATCATCAGTCAAATGAATAATTATTTTCTTACACTTGTTTACTAATTCAGCTTAATATATTAAGTATATATGACTTATTTTGACTGGTATACAAATCAAAAGACATTAAATCCAACCTCTGTATCATTTTTACCCGACTGCCCGAGAAGGAGGGTAAAAATGATACAAAATGTTACTCTGTAGCCTGAACAGCTTGATGGCTTTTAACATATGAGGTGTCGTTAGATTCGAATTAATTGTAGGAGTGACATAGGCTACAAAATGTTTCTCATTTTAGTAAACATTGTTTTTTTTAATTACTGTTTTAAACAATAGGGCTTGTTTACTTAAAGGGAATGCAAATATATAGCCCACTGATATTTTCCTTAATATAACAATATGAGATGCAATAGCTATAAATTCTCATTGACAGGACATCTTTTTTGTAATTAAAATACCATTCAAGCATTAATCAGCATACATGGAGTTGTTGAATGTATGTAACTCGTCTTGGCTAATGGTTAGTTAACTACTAACGGTCGTGCTCGCCCTTGCCCTGTCCCTATAGGACCGTTAGCATGTTCATTGCTGATATGCGTCTCGATCATAGATAATTTTGAAAACATTCAAAAGTATATTTACATTATGATGAAATATTTTTTACCTAAGACTGCGATCAAGCAAACAAAAGGACAGTTAACAGTGACTTCGAATCCGCTATTTGACTGTGTTGTGCACCAGTCATATAAAAAGCATTTAAATCTTAGATGGAGGGGATACATGTGGCATTATTAGTGTTAGCAGCACTACTAGTACTTTTTTGAAATTAGAAAGTCTATATGAAGGTAAAGTATTCCAAACCACTCACATTTTAATGTTGCACTCTTGTTAAGGTTCTGTGCTTGTACTGCTGCATTGTCAATATGGTCTGGCATTGGTGTTCCATTGATTAAAAAATTTGTCTTGTAAGGTATCCCGGGGTAGTTAGCCGTAGCTAGACAAACCTAAGAAATGAAAGGAAATGAGGCCCAAATAGGCTTGTCTAATATAATTATTTATTAAAATTACAGAAAAAATTATGTCTATGTTAATCTTGAAAATAAAATACTTTTTTTTAAATAAATCAATATGTATAAAATGGTAAACCAGCCTCTTAAAATAACATTTCAGCCTAAAATATTCGTATTACTTTTCTACCTACGATTGTGGAATTAATAACAATATGTATCCTATTAAAATAGACAACTTACTTGTTTTTTTTTCGGTTACTCAACTTATTTTTAGGTAATTGTTTTATGTTTTGTTATCTATACAAATAAATAAAATTGAAAAGTCTATTTGTAATGTCAAAATAAGAGCTTTTTACTAAATGCATATGAAAGTATATTTACATTTTAAATTTCTTTTCTATCTGTCTGTCCGTCTGCCTTTCGGTCTGTCTGTTCGTTCCTGATTGTCTCCGAAATGGCTGGACCGATTTTGACGGAACTTTCACTGGTAGATATATGATGTTATAAGGAGTAACTTAGGCTACTTTCATTTTAGAAAAAGAATAAGGGTTCGGTGCAAAAAAATTAAAACCCATGTAATCCAACCGTAATAAATTCCACGTGGACGAAGTCGCGGGGAACAGTTAGTAAGTAATAAGTTGATTTAATTGAGAAATTTTCACTCGTGTATATATTTTTTGTGTGGACTGAGGAACCACAGTTTGCATTTTTATCTTTAACACTTTGTGACTTGTTATTTAGTAAATATTGCTTTACAAATTTCTCACTAAATAACATTAAGTTCATTTTTAAGATACATAGTCTGATAGACTGTGAGAACTAAGGGACCACACTTTAGGGGCTGTATTTTTTAAGATTTCTTTTACAAATCCTTGGATTTGTTCTACAACTATTGCATCCTAATATAGTCACTCAGTGGTCACATACACCCAATCAGTGTTATATCGATTTCAATTACAGGTTGTGTCATATACAATATTGGTCTATATTTTTCTAAATATAAATATAGAATCATGTAAAAACAGACATAGCAATTTTTTTTACAAATGAATTTCGTAACATACCTATCTTGTTCTCAAGTTTCTTTTATTATTTTATTACAAATATAGTCATTATTTTATAGTACACTCGCTGCTCCCCGTGACTTTGCCTGCGTGGAATTTATTACGATGGGATTTCATGGCTATGAATTTTTTATTGCGCGTAATCGTAATTATTTTTCTAAAATAAAAGTAACCTTACAACATCAGTGATCTGCCAGTGAGTCTCGTCAAAATCGGTCCAGCCATTTCGGAGATCAGCCGGAACAAACAGACAGACAAAACTTTTAAAAATTGTTTATTCGTTACTAGCTGTTTCCCGCGATTGCGCCCACGTGGAATTTATGACGATTGGAATTATTGGTTTTTAATGTTTTTCCGCTGGTCCAGCCGTTTCGGAGATTAGCCGGAACAAACAAACAGAAAAAAATTTAAAAAATTGTTTTTAGTTACAGTATAATTTATAAGTACTGTATATACATAATGTATTTTGTAAAAAGTTGTTATTTTGACATTACAAACAGGCACTTCAATTTTATTTATTTGTATATAGATAGGTATTTCATTAAAAATACAGTAACCAACAGTTAAAAAACTTACCACAACAAGCGACCAAAATGTAAAGAACAAAACAAGGAAGAAAAATGTTATGATTGGCTGCAAAAATAGGGCTGGAATTGAACCGAGGCAGTGTGCGGTCTCTTTAAACAAAGCAGCCAGGAATGACACACGTGATCGCATCACCCAAACTAACAGCAACAAAATTATCTGCAAATTATATTTTTCATTTATGTTTGTAAACAACTTTAAGCTCTGCTAATAGATAATAAAATACTTACATTAATAATAATTTTTAAGCAATGTAAGGATGAGAAATATACCAACTTTGGCTAATGGTGGAAATCCATACAAAATTACTGACCCCGAATTTCATACTGGAGATGGAACAGCCGTTTACTGTAATGGCGAGGTAATGTAATCCTCTACCGTACATAATCTTGTGGGTGTCGTAAGAAGCGACAAAAGTAAATTAAAGAAGATCAGTAGTAGCTTCTTCCTGATAACTCAAAATTATAAAAAACTGTGGTTGCTAACCAACTTGGAAAGCTCAGCAACTATGGCAAATATCCCTCTATAAAGCAAGCTAGGAAGTAGGTCAATTTTTTTAGCCCTCGACTTGATAGGCTGTAATGGACGAATGGATAAAAAAAAATCATACATTTTAATTAAATTAATAAATTATACATGTCAAAAATATGCATAAGAATTACCTATATAATTCTAGATTAGTAATGGTAATATAATGGTAGGTATGATACAAAAAAGAGTGAAACAGAACCTCTAACAGAATTTTACATCAGTGTGAAATTTGTCTTAAATTATTAAAATAAATCTTATCAAGAATTGTATATAAGGCAAAAATAGTTTTACTTTGTACTTACTGTTATTATAGTAGCAATTATTGAATACCACAAAAATGCCTTTTCATTTTTTAAGGATTCCTAAAAAAAAGGATTAATTTGAATTCATATTTCATAAAATTTAAATTTAAATTTTACCCAATGCACATACAGCTAAGAATAATGTCTCAGTAAAATCTCTCTGTTTTGTCCGTAGCTCATGGTAAGTGTACCAGAGAAGTGCAGTTCCTGCTATGCTGACAATGGATACTATAATCATGAATATCCAAGATACAAGGGTCGCAAGTAAGTGGAGGATTGACACCATAATTAATGAACAAACTGCAAAACAAAATAACAAATTAAAAATTATCACACTATAATTTGTTTTGATGAAATAAATTGAAATATTTCAGTATGCGGAATTAATACACAATATACTTAAAATATTCTAATAATTAGGCAAGAAATTACACTAAACAAAAAAAGGTTAAAAACAAGCTAAGCCACCTCAATCTGCTTCCATTGATATGACATATTATGCCATCACATGTTTAGCAAGGTCTGTGGAAAAATCAAAAAATCCGAAACATTCAAAAAAATCTTGTAATACTACTTTTAATTTAAAAAAAAAACTACCAAAAATAATACATGGCATAGGTATAAACAAATTTGTTCATTTTTAAGCAACAAGCTATGGCTTAATACTGCTCTACTTAGTTATGAATTGGAGACAAAGTTAATTTAGATGAAGAACAAAGCTTTTGTTATGGTAACAATTATTACACTAAAATGAGACAGAGGAGCATGTCACATGAGATTTTAGTGGATTTCTCATAATTAATAATTACATAAATACTAAAAGGATCTTCAAAAATAATGTTCATTACTTTTGTTATGGTGATATATATATATCATCATGATTAGTTGCATACTTCATTATAGTAATTTTTTTTAAATTACACAAGCCACTACTATACTTACTTACAAATGTGTGTCATCTCCTTGATCACAGAGGTTTCTGACAATGGGCAAATTATTTAAATGTGTAAAATATTATAGTAGTGCTGTGGCCCAGCAAATATTTTTCTACCCTGTTCTGTAAGTGGCGTGATTAGTTTCACTCTGGACTTTTATATATATACAGTATAGGTAAAAATATATTTATTAATAACTTGACCACAGTGGCAACTATCAGGTCCAGATTTTGTGAATTTCTTTTAGACAGTAAAACAACACAATATAATTGAGAATGTACAGAGACCATATTGAGGTGACAATGGCGTGAGTGGTGGGCAGTGCAGTAGAACAGGAGAGGAAGCACATGACACACATAGGTCTATAATATATTTTATAAAAAAGAGTTTCGAATTGGGCACAGAATCCCAATTCTTTAATGAAAGTAACCTAAGTTACTCCCTATAACAATGAAAGGCTTAGCTTTCCATTGACGTCAGTGGAGTTTGGTGTTGATACGTATTTTTACAGAAAGATTACACTATTGTAAGCACACACACAATGTCTCAATATACGGAAACGCGTAATTTTTGAGAAAAGAATAATTGAAAATCAATTATTCTTGCAATGTTTACGTCTAATTTGCTAATAAACTGGCGCCATTTTGTAATTTCATTGTCGACATCAATAGGGATGTCGATTCTTTCCGAAAAAGGTCGATTTTTAAATCGATTCAAATTGTAAGCTGATGTATCGGTTCACAAAAAATCGATTTCTAAAATGTCTATATTTTTTTAATGTTTCTATTTATAATGTAAATATAAACCCATTTTATGAAAAACAAGAAAGATACCATGATAAATGATCTCTTATTGAAATTTGTTTTATTTAACAGTACCTATTAGGGCAGATAAATAAAATAGGTTAGGTTCAACTTATGTCAAAGAACCGAATTGATTGACCCCGACTCCACCTGGTACGAGTCTGTCCTACCCCTAGAGTGGTTTTATAGAGCCTCCGCCTGCTGTAACAAATCGTAGGTATCGGACGAGCCGGAGCGGCTGAGGCTGGTCGCCGAAGGCGACCAACAAGCCGAAGCTGCGGAGGCGAAGAGGGATGCCTGCGATTTGTTACGCTAAGGCGTAGAGGTTGCTCTTCCCGCAGCGCCGGAGACGTAGCAGTCTCAAAATAGATACAGAAATCCTTATGAATCAGTCCCCTTATTTTTTTATGATGAAGGGGATTTTTTTTTCTCATAAAATGGATTTATATTTACATTATAAATGCAAACATGAAAAAAATATCGATATTTTAGAAATCGATTTTTTAGGAATCGATACATCAGCTTACGATTTGAATCGATTTAAAAATCGACCTTTTTCGGAAAGAATTGACATCCCTATTGACGTCGACAATGACATTACAAAATGGCGCCAGTTTATTAGCAGATTAGACATAAACATTGCAAGAATAATTGATTTTCAATTATTCTTTTCTCAAAAATTACGCGTTTCCGTATATTGAGACTTTGTGTGTGTGCTTATAATAGTGTAATCTTTCTGTAAAAATACGTATCAACACCAAACTCCACTGACGTCAATGGAAAGTCGTACCCAATGAAATTCCCGTCAACATTTTTCCAGCCAGTTCGGAGATTAGCCGAAACAAACAGACAGATTTTTTAAAATTGATTTACTTGCTATAACTATTGTATATACTTTCATACGCATTTAGTAAAGAGCTGTTATATTTACATTACAAACAGACATACAGATTTTATTTATTTGTATAGATAATTAAAATAACCATAATTGACTATTTCTATGTAAAGTATGTATTCAAAATAATAATGTAATATTTTTAACACACATTTATAGTCTAAAGCCAAATAAATAATATACTGTATATATTTCACTAATATACAACATTTAAACATACTTACCAAATGCTGTTATTACACAAATAATCATCTCTTTCCATGAAGAATAAAGATCTGATAACATTTGCTCAATTGTGTCCCAACTGTTAAGTAATTCATAAAAATCAGCAAATACTTTTTGTGCTACATCCTTTGCAGATTTAGGGAAACACCTATTTAATAGAGGAAATGAATCAAGTACAGGTAAAGTAGGACATGGTCCTATAAAATTATGCAGGTCCTTTGTATTTGGTAAATTATTCAAATTCATGTCATATCTACAAAGATTTGATCCAGTTTCTTTATAGAAGTCCTTTATGTCTGATAAAGATTCTAATTTCCTATTTGGACATTCTTTTACACATATTTTCAGAGAGCTTTTCAATTCCTTTAGGTCCATAAAAAATAAATAACTCTTGTCAGCTGTGCTAATACCAGCTAAAGGAAAATTAATCAACTTTTTGTTGCTCTTAACACCACACGTATTACCAAAAGAATCATATCCATTAATAAGTCTTTGTGGATTTCCATATACAAATGAAATACATGCAATAATTATCTGAAAAAGGTCAAAAAGTATTATAAAACCACTATTATATATTACTAGGTACTTCGACAGTAGATACTGTTTTCCAAAACTTTAGATAATAGTTACCATTAAAATCCAAAAAATAACATAAATAACCAGCCATAAAACATCCGTACATCCTTTTCGAGGGCTTTCATTTTGAGGAGAAATTTCGCTTTGCGTGCATCCCATTTCGTTTTTTTTTTTCTATAGATTTACTATAGTCTTTATTATTGATATTTAGATAAACACTAATATTGCAAACCAAACTGCATGTACTGTTATTTTCCAAAATAATGAATCACGAATCCATGTTAAGAAGTAAAGATTTCGGTGTTTAGTGTTTAGTGTTTACTACTTGACCTAAACAATTATGATTATGACGCCATGGGCCGCCCACAGTCCACCACAAACTATATCATAGATAAATATATATGTAGCAAGCTATATAGATTATAGAAACACTACGATATAATCTTCTTACTAGTTTGTGGATATAATGTACTTTTACTCTGTGTACTACGCGTTCAGCCCACACACGGCATCACAGATAACTGTATAGCAAAGATTACAATGTTCTATAGGGAATATGGAGTGTAGAGAGTAGAAGGAGGACCATCTCTATATATGAAAAGTGTCCCTAAAAACGTGTCCAATAAGGGTGGCGCTGCAGTAGCATAAGATAAATTAAAAAAAAGCGCCAAAAGTAATTAGAATAAGATAGAGAAATAAACAAGGACCGACCAATCCGCTTGGTTTTGTACTACATAAATAGTTTAGATTTTGTATACTGGCATTTTACTAACTACTTTAGTCATGAAATTTTTTAAATATTTGAATTTAGCTGACTTCACTCCGTTACAACAGTACAGCAGTACAGTACAACAGCTATCTTCATATCGTAGTTTTTCAGACGCCAGCGCTATTGTGGTAGATTTTGGAACCTCTATTTTCAGTAAATAGTAGGACACTTTTTCAACTTTCGCCTCTTATAAGATGGTTCTCCTTGTACTCTACACTCCATAATAGGGAACTGTATAGTGTATACTAGTCAGAGAGCACGGCATTCACACTTCACAGTAGGGACTAGGGATGTCGAGCTGAGATCGATTAATCGAAGAATCGATATGCAGTACTGAATCGATCCAGTGAATCGATATTTCACCCTTGTAAATCGCCATTCGATATTTTTTTGTATTGGTAAAAGCCATAAAATTATTTACAATTAGTTGAATATATCCGTAATATTACGGTGTTGCCGGTTAAAGGGTTAATTATTTAAAAACTCGCGAGATGGCTGTATGCTTAGTTTCCTTTTTTTTTACAACAACAAAAATACATATTATACACAGTTCATAAGTACAGTGCAACATAAACCTATATAAGATTTTTCTGCACACTGCAGTTCGCCGTCTTTCGAGCGTAAACATTTTAATACTATTTAGAGTAAGAAGGTAGTTTGCTCGCTTCTATAACAATAACGTGAGGATGAGTTGTAGTATACAGGTTGTTCAGAGGAAAAATTATTTTATATTTTTGAAATATAAATATAGTAATTATATTACAATTAGTATACATATATAATAGTATATAGTATTAGTTTTAGTTATATTATGTTAGTTATTATATTAGTTGATTCATAAAGTACGTTTTTAATTTGTTTGTAATATATTTAGGATTGATATCTTCCTTTAAGGTTTTAGGTAGTTTATTAATTAATTTAGGAATAATAATGTTATTTTAATGATCTCCATACATATTTTGTGTTTTAGCTATAATTGATTTAGGGTTATATATACCTCTAAGCTGGTGTTTATACATAGGTAGGACTTGCAATTTTGTATTAAAGAACTGTTCAACAAGTAAGGTAAGTTTTAGTTTTTCTTCAATAGGCAGAATACCGCAAAATTTGAATAATTTGTTGTAGTTATCCTTATATTGTTGTTTGATTTTAGATGGGACAATTGTTTTGATGATTCTAAGCTGTAATTCATGGATACTATAAAGATGCGATTTCCAGGTTCTACCATAGCTACTTAAACCGTAATGTATTATCGATTCGGCCAGAGCTTTGTAAAGGGATAACAGTATAGGATAGGGAACTTTATATTTAATTATAGAAAATTTAGCAAGTATGGCCCTTAACTTATCACACACTTTATTAATATGGTGCGTCCATTTAAATCGACTGTCTATTATGAGTCCAAGGTAAGGTTGTTGTTCTACTATATCGATATGATTACAATTACAAGTCTGGTTAGACATGTTATTATGAAGACATTGGTGGGGGCAATGAGTTTTAATGGAACGGATACTCTATTTCGACTGGACGAAATGTACATCAATTTTGTTTTGGTGGCGTTCAGAATTAGTTCTGCATCGTGAGACCATTTCATAAGGTGGTGAAATCCTCTTGCAATTTCTGTAATGCCACATTTATGTCGTTCTCCGCCTCTAATAAGCAGGTATCGTCTGCAAACTGATAGATCTTGCAGTTTTTAATGACATTGGCAACATTATTAACATAAGTCAAGTAATGCAAAGGCCCAAGCACAGAGCCCTGGGCGGTACCATGGGTGACGGTTTGCTTTATACTTGTAGCATTTCCCACTTTAACTCTATATGCTCTCTCTTTAACATAATCTTTGCACCAATTCAGAAGGGGTCCTCGAAGTCCACATTCATCAAGTCTTTCAATCAGTAAATCATGCCTTAGAGTATCGAACGCTTTACTATAGTCAATAAAAACAACTAGAACATGTTTTTTATTATCAAGATAATAGTTTACGTCGTCAGTAAAAGTAGATAACAGTTGAGTGGTACTTTTATGCTGCTGAAAACCATACTGAATTTTATTTAAAATTGAGTGTTGACTATAGAAATTATTTACTTGTTTACTTATATATTATTCAATTATTTTATCTAGTGTAGGCAGTATTGTTATTGGACGGTAATTGTCGTAGTCCGTTTTTTTACCTTTTTTATGTATTGGTCTTACAATTCCGGTTTTTAATTCAGTAGGGTACTTACCTTTTTCAATACACGCATTTATTAGGTTGGCTATGGTAACCGATATTTTGTCCGCGAAGTACCTACATGTATTTCCATGTCCGTAATAGATTTTAAGTCTATTGCTCGTATTTTGTCTATACCTGGTGCTTTGTTCGTGTGAATATTTTTTTATTATTTTAGCTACTGAACTTGGAGCACTAGCTTGCTACATATATATTTATCTATGACTTGGAGTAGCCTTTTGATATCGGAGTGTTACGTTTACAGGCGATCTGTACAAGTTCATCGGCAAAAGGGGCCGATTACAAGAAGGTACGATGCTTGAAACACTTTTCTGAAACATCTCAGCGAAATTATTAGCGATATCAAATGGCTTTACTTTCTCATTTTCAAATGAATTTAATATTATATTATCGACGGAAGAATTTTTCCGTCCCGTGATCTTATTAAATATTTGCCAAAGTCTCATCTGGTTATTTTTATTATTATATATATCCCTTTTTATGTACCAATTTTTTGTTTTTTGTATCAGTTTGTTAGTTGAGTTTCGTATTTTATTATATTTCTGTTTAATAATCTTATCATCAGCATTTTTTAACCACAAAGAGAACCAATAGTCCCTATTTTCACATGCCTTTTTAGTCCTATTATTAACCCATTTATTTTCTGCCTTCGTTAATGTTCTACTTTTTATCTGAATTGTTGTTAGGGCTTCATTGTAACATCTATTAAAGTTGTCTTTTATAAATTTGTATATTTCAATGGGGCAACTAATACTTTTAGTTGAGTCCCAATCTATTTTATTTATTAAATCAGAAACTTTTTTCTGGTCAATGAATGTTTTAGATTTAGGAGCCGCCTCTATATAGTGCTGAGATCCAACACAAGCGAATGTTATCGCACAGTGGTCTGCCTTCGCCTCCATTTAATAAAAAACGTTACGTTTGTAGTCAATGACTTTTTGTGTTTGTTGATTGTTACGAGAGTTTGTGAAACGCTTCCGAAAACGAAGACAGATGATAGTAGGTACTACACCTTAGAACATGGGTCACAAATAAATTTGAAAAAAAATATCATATTTTCACAACGTTTTATTAACTTTATTCACGCTCCATCATATTAGTACAGCTAAATGAAACGATAGTTTCATAAAAAAATCATGAAAATACTTAAACAAAAAACCAGCAGTGAAACTTAAAAAAAACTCATAGTTCCCGTCACGTAAAAACGCTGACCTTGAACCTAGGCACTGAGCGATTTATCGATCAAATTGTGTTACGAAGTTTCATTTTTCATCTGGGGGCAAAGCAGTGCCCCCGCCAAGTGGAGCAAAAAAGCGGCACGGCCGTACGATCCTTTTCTCGAAGGCATTTCCGAAACTCTATAACTTCCTTGTGGATAAAACTAGAAGCCTGAATTTTAACTAGTAACCAAGTAGGCATTGTATAAACTCGGTATATTTCAAATTTCATCAAATTTTAACCAGAAGTTTAAGAATTAGAACTAGTAAAGTTTTTTAATTTTGTCACTCACTGACTGACCGATCATCAAAACTCTAAGGCACTTCTAGCAGACATAGAAGCTTTAAATTTGGAATACATTTATTGTTTAGTATATAAATTAAGGAAAAATTAAAATATTTTGCAATTTCGGTCCAGTTTTCGAGATACACCAACTGCATAAATAACTTTGTAATCCCTTATAAATATATAAGATTACAAAGTTACATTTGCAGTGAATGAATCAGTGTACCTATATATGTATAATATAATGGAATAATAGGTGTAGATAGGTACCTAGATATAACTATCTACAAAAACGAATGAGATGCCATGAAAAACGTAACTTGTAAAAAGAAACAAGTCTCGCAACTCAGTTCTTCTACCGTAAAAAGTTGTGAGTTCAATGTAATACCAAGTCGGATAATTTATTCAGTCCCTACTTAAAGGGTCCTTCTCTCTTAAGTTATAACGTAATTAGCTAACCTAACATCTTATAGTGACCATATCAATATTAAAAATATTTTATGTTTTAAATAAATAAATTGACTTGGCGATCGCATGAAAACGCAATGTATCTCTCAAGTAATACATATTATATTAAATTAGATTGTTTAGTGCGATTGCCAAGTCAATTTATTTATTTAAAACAAAAGATTTTTAATACTGATATGGTCACTA